CACACACACACACACACACACACACACACACACACACACACACACACTCCCAGAGATGATTCCAATCATCTCCCCATCCGCTACACAGCATCTCCAGCTTTAGATGTGATGCTAGCTAAGTTCCAAACCAGCAAATCCAGATTATCATGAGTTGAGTTCCCCTCTGACGCTGATAGGGGAGAGTCACCGAGGACCACTGTGTGTGTGTGTGTGTGTGTGTGTCTGTGTGTGTGTGTGATCATGCAAGCGTGAGGCACATTTCTGCCTTTTTTTTGTGCACAACACAATCCTGCTCGTTCCAACTGACTCACATTCACGCTCCCATTGTTCAATTTACTAACTTTAACCCCTTGCTAAACCCTCTGTGTGCGTCTGTGTGTGTCTCTACGTGTGTCTTTGTGCGTCTGCAAGCGTTTTTCTGTGTCTGTGTGTGTTTCTGTGTGCGTCTGCAAGCGTTTTTCTGTGTCTGTGTGTGTCTGTGTGTGTCTGTGTGCGCCTGCCTAACCCTCTGTGTGTGTGTGTGTGTCTGCGTGGGTCTGTGTTTGTGTGTGTGTCTGCGTGCATCTGTGTGCGTCTGCGTGCGTCTGTGTGTGTCTGTGTGCGCCTGCCTAACCCTCTGTGTCTGCGTGCGTCTCTGTGTGTGTGTGTGTGTGTGTGTGTGTTGTACCTGCAGATCCCTGCTCTGCCTCCCTTTTGTGCGCTCGCTGCTGTTTTGAATTTAAATTTTTTAAAAAGGTGTTTTTTTTTTGTGGCTGTGTTGTGCGTCTGTCGGCGTCTCGGAGGTACGGAGACGCTTTCAGTGAAATATTAATCACAATATCAAAAGACACGAGGGTTTTCAGATCTGAATAAACATCCAGCTCCTGGTTTCCCCAGAAATGAAGGAAATGAAAAGAGAACAAACACGGACTGATAGAAACCGAGCAGGAAGAGCCCGCTCCTGGACAAGGGGAAGGACGGCTTTCCAGAATCAATCGATCAATCAATCAGTGTTTATTTATATGGCACTTTACAACAACCAGAGCTGACCAAAGTGCTTTACAGTAATTAAAACAGATCAAACAATCAAAATATACAAAGACAAATGCATTGGTGAAAGAACACAGTTTACAGTGATTTTAAGTGCAAAACGCCAAAATGAGGAAAACAGAATTCCAGAGCCACGAGAGCTGGAGTTTCCGTGGTGGGATTAAGGCAGAACAGGTCAAAGGTCAGGGCAGGCTGGGCCGGTTGGTCCGTTTGGGCTGCTCAGGTCTGAGCGGAGAGCCGGGCGGAGGCCAGAAAGCAAACAGCTCAGCTGGGAGCACGGCGGGGGAGGCGTCATGGTCTGGGCTGCTCCAGCAGGAGCTCTTCTGGACCCCAAGAGCCTGGGGGGGGCTGTGGGGGGGGCATCCAGGTCATGGGGGGGTATCAGGGTTTCCATCCTCATGTTCTGTTTCGTCTCTCCTGCAGAACCACACGCTGAGTCAGCACGCGGCGTGAGGCCGGCCGGCAGGACGCCGCTCCGCCTGCCCCCACCGGGCGGGGCCGTCCAATCGGCGGGGGCCCCAACGACCCCGGCGGGGGCCCGTCTCCACATCACAGCCAATCAAAGTGTCATCTGCCGCTCACACGTGACCCGCACGCCGCCAGGGCGTCCGCACGCCGCCGGGCATCTGGACGGCGCCCCCGGGTGGGCGGGGCCACCAGCGGCAGCGGGGGGGTTAACGGGAGATGCTATTAAACACAGAAAGGGAGGAGCAGGCGGCTCCAGGAGGGGAACAAAGGTATTGTGCGTGCAGTTTTTTTTTTTTTCCCGGCCCCCCCCCCCGCCCCCCCCCCCCCCCCACTCACTACCCCGCCCACTCGGTTTATTCTGTTTTTTTTACTATGAGAAGGGAAAAGCGCCCTTCGGTTTGGTTTGTTTGGGTTGGGTAGACTGTAGGAAAATCTCGGCTTTTTGTCCTCTCGGTTGCTTCTTGTACTCATAGGTGCCAATTTTTTTAAATTTACTTTATTCCATATGCGCTTATTTTCTTTGTTTTCTTTTTCGTACCTTTGATTTCTGGCAGTAAGTAGGTACTTGTGCTGTGTTGTGATTGTTTGCCAGTCGTAATTACCCCCCCCACCCCCATCTTTCCCCTACTACCCTTTTTATGATTGTTATATATATTTTTCCTTTTTGTAAGTACTATGAAAAAAGACATTAAAACGAAAATAAAGAGAAGAAAACATACAGATGTTTCTTTTTTTTTTCTTGGATTGGGTTTTCCAGTCATGGGGCCTAAAACGATTATTGTAAAAATGAATATCATCAATTTCAGCGCGTCTGGTCAATTACTGCTTTTTAAATGTGAATGAACCAGATTGCTATAATCTAGTACAGAAAAAAGAAAATTAAATGAATAAAAGACATAAAGAAGCTGTGCGTGGTGTGAGTTTATTTAAGAGTTTTAGAGAGTTTCTCTGCATGCCCCCTGCACAGGTTTCACGTGTCCGTCAGACAGTAAACGCACCGTGTCCACTTCAGAGCACAACCAGAGCCTCCGTCATCACAGGTCCCAAAAGCTCCACAAAACCAGGAAACCTGCGTCAGGAGCTCATATTCAAACAGGACGATCCTGAACTCCACCTCCAGCTGGACGTTCCTTCTCACCAACAGGAACAGCATCTTCTTTTAATCTTGCTCTCTTAGTAAATGCTGCACTTTCACATGTTTAGACTAAAGTAACCCCAAAGATTCTGAAATGAGGCAGAGACATAATAACAAACGTGTGAATAAGCCGGAATCCTGCATTCTCTCAGGTCCAAAGACTTCAACTGAGCTCCTTCACACTTTGAATCCTCTGTTTTAAATGAGAAGTTATTAAAAAAATAATAACAAAGGGTAAAGAAGGTAACTTTTATTCATCTGGAGCCTCTTTCAACGATACCACAAAGTGCTCAAAAAAAGATCCAGTAAATGCTCAAAAACATGAAATACATTAAACTTCCAACGTGCAAACAGTCACAAGACTCTGAGTCTTTAGACTCTGAATCTGTGTGGAGCTCTGAGTGTTTGGGCCGAATCTCCTTTTTAATGGCTCCTTCTCATTCTAAATGTGCAACACAGCAGCCTAACATTAAAGAGGAGAGATTTTCTGCCACTGATCTGAGTTTTAAGATGCTCTGCTGACGAAATGAGGCCTTTTCTGCCACCTGTGAGTTTGGTCTGACGGAGGCTGTTCGGTGCAGTGGTTTGTCCCGGGTTCTCCAGATTCAGTCCTGGAGCTCATGGCCCGGCCCTCAGATGTCTGTCCCAGACGAGTCCACACGGTTGAGATGAGGAGGATGGACCGGTTCTGGCTTCTGCGTGGGGTCAGCTCTGACCGGGCCCGTTTAGACGAGATGTGCACAGAACTGCGGGTCACATCAACAGTTTACATAAGATGAACATTTCTGTGGTTTTTCTCCTGTCAGCTCACTAAAACCATCCTGATGCTCCCCGGGAACTCTTCATGGACCAGAACCACCAAACACACCGGGCCTCCACACCCTCAATCCCCCCAAATTACATTATATTATATTATATTATATTATATTATATTATATTATATTATAGTATATTATATTATATTACATTATATCATATCATATTACATTACATTACATTACATTATATTATATTATATTATATTATTTTATATTATACTATATTATATTATATTATATTATATCATATTAAATTATATAATTTATATCATATACTATATTATATTATATCATATTACATTATATAATTTATATCATATTATAATATATCATATAATCTACTATTTATATATTTTTTTTATTTTTTATGTATTATTATTTTATTTATTTATGTATTTATTTATTCATTTATTCATTTATCTATCTATTGTTCAATTATTGTGTCCCTCCTCCAGTGGAAATCTCCCCCTGCTGGCTCATTCAGAACCTGTTGGGATCCACTGGCTAAGCCCACTTTCACAATATAAAACAGACCAAAAAGACTGTATTAGTCTCATTTGTAGAAAAAAAAACGGTCTGTAAAATATCTGTAATTTTACATAAATGACTTTGCACATTTTTTGTAAATTTGAGGTCCAAAATCTGATATACTTACTGATTTGACAAGGAATTGCTTCCTTAAATCAGTCATATTATATAATTTTAAATTATATTAGATTATATTGTATTATTTCATAATATATTATATTATATTATATTCAGTGCAAATACGAAATAATTTTTAACTACAGCGAGCACTTGAAGGCAACATGGAGCTGTTTAAACTGAACACATTTGCCTAAATGGGGATGAAATGGGTGATATTACAACCACATCTTTTTAAGCTTGTCCTCAGCTGTGATCCTAATTACCACTTATGAGCACACGTATTCCTCACTGGAGATACGGCCGCCCAAAGTGCACTTAACCTGTGTTTTTCTAAAAACTACGCGTCCCATTAAGACCACATAAGCCACTTTGAAAATAGGCTCTTTATTATTTTACATTTTTCCACTAAATCCTTCAGTTATTCAGTGATTCAAATGGGAGCCAGAATAATAATTACTCCTTAAAATGTGTAAAAGGCTAAATTGTTACTGCTCCTGTAACATTCAATAAAAAAATATTTTGTTTAATATTTTTATGATAATAAATAATATGAAACTCATTCGGTTTGTATCAGTCGTTTATTCACGAGGACATTTCTGAAGTTTTATTTTGCCAAAATAATCCTTAAACCTGGATTTTTACTAGTGTGTCTTCCATTTGAAGACACACTATTTAAATGAGAAAACCTGTCAAAGAAATGAACTAAATGCTGTTATTATTAATCAAAAAATGACTTTTTTTTATGCTGGACCAAATGCTGGCATTTTATGGCATTTACAAAAAGATGGATCAAAGAGAAGTGGTTACAATTAACACAATTTAACAGAATCAGTGATTTTATGTGCTCAGAAATGTCCAAAAGTTGTGCTGAATCTTTTCTTAATGAACGGAGTGTGAAACATAAAAAACCTTCACGTCCTCATTAATGTTCACGTGCACACAGGAACCAGCAGCCCTGCTTTCCTGCTATTGTCTCAGAAAACATCTGGAAGACAAAGACGGCAAATAAAACCTGGATGAGGCTGATGAACCTTAAAGACTGTTAAATACAATAATAACATTTTTTAATATGTTTTTTTATAAATCTGCAATCCAAGAAAAAAGAGAATTCAGTAATAAATATCTGGACTTTTGTGCCTTTTTTTTCACCTATTTACAATGTTCTCTTTTCTCTGAATCCTATGAGCTGAGTTTTTGCTCCATATTAATAATTGTATTGATATTAAAAGCTCTTTGCAGAAAAAAGACTAAATGTTTTTCCCAGTTTTGGCAGTAACATTCTTCAAGAGGCTTAAAATGACTTCACAATCATTTTTTTGTTGTCAAAATGTGTAAAATAAGTTATTTCTGGGTGTGGTTTCTCATCTGGCTGATGTGAACTTCTGTGGAGGTTCGACTTCGGTCCTTTTTAAACCTGAGGGGGGGTTTAATCAGGCTCCGGTCATCAGCTCCTCCAGCCTCCCTGCTCCTCCTCCTCCTCCTCCTCCTCCTCCTCCTCCTCCTCCTCTGTTTCCTGTATTTATGGGCTGGGTCCCTGTGGGGGCTCTCAGAATATGTCAGAGTTGTAAAGGCTAATTAACCTGGTTCAGCTCACCTTCTCCGGTCACATGTCTGAAAACATGAGCTCTGGTTGGTGGAGCCCTGACAGGAGCCTGGTTCTAACGAACCCGGCAGCACCATGTGTGTCCAGTCATCAGGATTCAGACCCAGTCTGGGATGACCAGCTGTCCGAGGGACTCTCCCTCCTGAAGACTCCGCCTGTTGCACCAGGTCCAGGTCTGTGGGACCAGGTCTGTGGGACCAGGTCCAGGTATGTGGGACCAGGTCTGTGGGACCAGGTCTGTGGGTCCAGGTCTGTGGGACCAGG